GATTATTGTGAAGTCTGTGAAACTGAGGATTTATGTATTTCTTTGTTCATATATGTAATTTCTGATAAGGTTACGCAATGTATTTTAGGGAATGAATATGTGACTTTATCAAAGTAGACACTTGTCTAGTAAAGATTTACATCTAAAAGTGAAAGCAAAGACTTTATCAGTGTGTTATGGGAGGTGATTTGGGTTAAATGGGTAAATCTAGATCGCAATGTGATGAACTTGCTTGCATTTTGTAACAGAATATTCAGTGTATGTTTAGTTAATGCTTACAAGGTTGTACATTTGGATGAAAAGGCTTGTGGTGAAGTGCCAGAAAATGTATTTTTTCTTTAAAAAAGTTAATAAATATGTTTATTCTTCCCAGGTAATGTGACTGCCAGTATACACTGACTTGTAAAAATATTCAGAACCTTATTTTGATGTCACACTTTGTGAGTTAAAAAAAACAATGCATATGCTTTTTTTAAAACTTAATTTTTTATTCAAAACCTAAATGGCCTAACTGAAATCTTTAAAATGTAAGATACATTGTAGTCTTTCGGGGTATGTCTCTACCAGTTTTGCACAACTCTTAGTACAATTTTTCCCACTCTTCTTGGCAGATGTTTTCAAGCTCAATCAAGGCCTTGAGCCTTGGGCTATTGTCCTGCTGAAAGGTGAATTCTTTGTGCTGGTTTTAGGTCTAAAGCCAGTTTTCCTCTAAGATCTACTAGGACTGTTTTCCATCTATGTATCCATCAGTCTTGACCTGACAAGCAGAAGCTGAACTATAACATTTTGCTGCCACCATACTTGATTGTAGGGATAATAACGACAAAGGGATGTAGTAGCTGGGTATATGGTAAATGTAATGCTTTTAATTTAGATTTAAAAAATCATTTTTGTCAAACCATACCACAAAACCTTTGTCAGATATTTGCTGGCCTTTGCCTTTGCTGTTAGTTGATTTTTTCGCACACCTCTTGTGGGATTTGAGATGGTTTTTTTTTATTCCCTACAAGCCCCTTTTTGTGGTGTGACTGGGATGTTGTTGGCCCATGGACTTTTTCTCCAATCCCAGCTAATGAGAGCACTGTAACTCTTTTGCTGTGACATCCCTCCCTAATCAGTTTCCTCCTTGCGTTCCTCCTCATTTTGGAAGGATCTAAGCTTCATCCAGATGCCACTTAGCTTCACAATCCACATAGAGGTATTAGGTCTATACCTGTATTTATGTATTGATACCCTAATCCTGATCTGTGCCTTTGTATTTTGAAAGCTCCTTGGTTTTCCTGGTTGAATGTTTGCTTGAAATTCACTACCTGACTGACCTTACATTGATAGGTACATTTATTGTGAAATCATGTGAATCACTATTATTGCACACAGAGGCCACAAAATTATGTGGCTCATTAAAGTAATTTCGTTCAACAAAATTCATTTACAGTAGGTTTGCCACAAAAAAGGGGTATGGATACACACTCAGTCATGACTTTCCTGTTTTTATTTCATGTTAATAATCTGTTTCCATTTTTTTTCTTTGAATGTGTGGAGTAAATTGTATATTGTATAAACAAATATTAATTGCTGCTTTAAAGTGTCATGACTTAAAGATTTAAAGCAATAGAATGTGTCAACTGCAGATTGGTCTGAATACATTTGCATACTGTGTGTGCATCAGCTGTAACTGGTGATGATAAAAAGCTGGAAATCAGTATTAAGATCGTAAAAAAGTGTACTGAACCCTGAGTTTAAATGAGGCTGGTCTGCATGCTTCACTAAAATTCTGAACTGTACCTGGCATCTTGCCAGTGTTGGGCTGTGCTTGGCAAGAAGAGAATGGTCACATTCCTCAGCAATGGGGTTTGTGATTGTCCTCCTGGGTAGAGAAACAGTGGGAAGAATTCTGATCCTTTAAGTCTAGATATAGAACTGTTTTTTGAAGATCGTTCAATATTGGAGGGCAAGAGGGAACAGAGTACAACTCATATACCTGAACATTCTATGTTTATGAGGAAAGGTACTATGCATTCTTAACTAAGCACAGTATCAAACCATAAGTAAATGACAGGTTAAAATGTTCAACCCTTATACAACTCTTTTTCACAGGTTAGTTAAAGCACTGCGAATGCCAGGTTATGTATACATATGTAAATTAAGCAGATTATACAGATCTGCTTTATTTTATGGTATTTTCAGTATTTGTATGATCAGTGTCACATCTGTTATTTTTTAAATTTAAAATCCTTATTCCTGGCAGTTTCATGTAGTAAAAATGTAGCTGAATCAGAGGCGCTGTTTTATTTTTAAGTATTTTGTTTGTGTTCAAAATGTACTAACACAGATTCATATGTGTATATATGCATATACAGATCTACAATAAGCTCTATTGCATTTAAAAAGCACGAGGTTTCAAGGTAATGTTTTTGCAACCATTGTATGATCTCTCTTATGGTTTTTATGCAGGGTAACAACATGTGTTTGTGCCAAGCAAATGTGATCTTAAGTACTGATTCAATCATGATGAGAAAGCAATTGGCCCTGCCCTTTTAACCCATGCTCTCTAAACTCCAATCTTCTCCTTTGGCAAAAAGAAAGTGTATGATATATCACAGTTCTTAGTGTGGAGGTGATTTTTATAATGCATGTGTAACAGAAGCAAGAATAAATATGCATTGAAGCTTTCAACTTTAACAACTTATTTCCATTTAGAGGATTTTTGTATACGTATTTCCTGGTATTCCATCTCAGTTAAACAGACCTACTTTATTATTAATACATTAATGGGGTGTTGCATGGTTATGTCAGTAGCAAAGGAACAAGTAGAGTTCTGGTGTGTGAAGAAGGCTCCACAAACACATTGAGTTATTTCTTCTACTTCCATTCCTTTCAAAGGAGCATTAATCTCCTGTGAGATTTTTCCTGTGAGTGGCAATTGTGTTTAGCATTTCAAAAAACATCTGGGGTATGTCCAGTGCACAAATATTTGACCTATAACAAAAACTAGGTACAACTTACTTTTCCTTGTATGTTTTAGCACAAGGTATTATTTGTTTTGGCACAAAGTAGATTACAAGAAATTACAAAAATATTTAATAATAATATTCTTATCTCTGATTTCCTCATTTCTTTCGTCTCTCCTTATACTCCTCTTCAACATCTTCTGTTCACCTTCTGTCTGCTCATTTCTTCCTTTTTTGACTAATGTCTCTTATGCACACTCATTCTTTCTTTACCCCTTTTGTGGAACCAGGTACCTGGGTGTATCGGCATTAAAGAATACCATGGACATACCATTTCTGAGCCTCTTCCAGCACCTCCTTAAGATCCACCAGTAATTAATAGTTAAGGCATTTCATTGTAGGCATAATCCCCACAGTTTTTTTTTATAAAAATGGGCATTCTCTTCTTCACTTCTGAATGCAAAAGAGATACGTTTTCTTAGCTCTTTGGATTTTAAGAAAATAATGTTTTAGTTATTTACATAATGCTTTCTTTAATAACACTTTTGGATAAGTGTTATTGTATTAACTTTGTTACTCTCCAAACAGACATGCTCTAGATGCGTTACAGTCTCCATGTATATGTCATTGTCATTTGCTGAAATGCTGCTTCATTTGTGTTGTAAAGCTAAATGAGCCATTCCAGAATAGGTGGTTTAAGAATGACAGCATTGTAATGTTGGAGGCTTACACACTGCAGACATTCGTTATAACAAGACATGGTTGGTGTACCAAGCATAAAATTGTGCACTTACAAGGAGCACTTTAATAGTAAATAGTTCAAAAGTAAACTTAAAATAATTGGATTATTCCAGAAATTTGTCGCATCACTTAAGAATATTAGCTTGCCTGTAAGTGCATTTTTGTTCACCTGCTTTTATGTCTTTGACTTCAGACATGATGTACTGTATAGTCTTGACCACTAGTTATTCACATTTTTGACAGTAACCCTGATCATAAAATCAAAATCTATGCTATTGTAAAGGGAAGATATGATTTCAAATTAGGTGACTATGTGCTTTCAATTTAAGTATTGCTCATTTTGTATAAAGAAATAGCTATTCCATTAGCTCAATACCTACTTTAGATATTATGCTATTTTTGTGGAAGTGATGGCATTTGTTTTCTCTGAATCACATTTTAATGTTTTTTATAATTACTGGTATTATAACACAAAGTACTTCAGGAAATCTGTGTTAGTTCTGTTAGTAGCAATAAATTGCTTCCACTACCGGTAATATGTTTTATAGTCATAAAATAAAAAAGCAGTCCATTACAATCAGTCCATTTAATGTCACCACACTTTAAAATACAAACTCAGTTTAAGCTTTTAATTGGGCAAATTTTAGGGGAATTTAATGTAAAAATGTATACAGTATATTGGCATGCACACAAACACAATGTGAGAGACATGAACACTATATTCTGTCACACACAATTTCATAATGCAGGTGTTTTTCTGTCATTTTTTATTTTATATATAAATATAGTTATAGAGTAAATGTGAATATTATTTTTCCAAACCCCCAAAAAATGTGTTTATTTACATATACAATTTAAACCTTTACCATGAATTTATGTTCTTGGTATGTCACACAGCAGCAACCTCGAAACAGCAGATACACACAACAGCTTGGCCTTGGCCATCAAATGAGGCCTGAGTGCAGATGCTTACTCAGAAGGTTTATGTAAATGGAAGAGTGCAGCTTAAAAACTTGACTATTTAGGTTTGGTAAAAGTCTGTTACATATGGCAGGACTCTTTTGTATACTTGAACAACTATATACTGAATGCATGCAATATCATATTTCAAATTTTTGCTGGTTGGAAGTAAGATATGCTCACATTTACTGTTTTTATTCTACTTGCAACTGTATACTGTTGGCATCTTTTTAGACTGTTTTGATTCTCTCTGAGACCATGAAAATGTTGTTTTTTTTTTAATGAGCAAGCTTTGAAAGTAGTTTAAGTGTTTATCCTTAGTGTAATTATTGTATTTCTGTGTTGCAGAGCAAACTTTACATGGAGGGATTCCGAAGCCTTAAAGAAGGAGAACCAGTGGAATTTACTTTTAAAAAATCTTCCAAAGGTTTTGAATCATTACGGGTAACGGGTCCAGGGGGTGCTCCCTGCATTGGCAGTGAGCGGAGACCCAAAGGGAAGACTGTACAGAAAAGAAAACCAAAGGGAGATCGGTAAGCCAGGGGCGTCTGGTTCTGCCAATAGATCACAAAAACTTTTTGGAAGTAAAACATTCCATTTGCTTGTAACTTCATTTAAAGCGAAGTAATGTAAACTTTATAAATGAATTCTTCTATATCCTCTAGTAGTGTCAAAAGAAAGGAAAGATAATTGTAGCATATGGCAAAATAATTTGGAAAGCAGCTGGCTGTCACTATTATGCCACTATTGCATTATTTGAAGAAAACAAACAGGATGGTATAGAGTCTTAATTGAATTACAATAGTCGAATCTTGATTATTATATAGTATATATATATATTGTAACGCAAACGGCCGACATTACAGATTGTGCGACCCGGCTTACCAGCATGGTGACTTCATCGCCCTTCCCTGTGAATAGCAGGGACCGCAGCCGTTGGGCTGATGGGAGATCTCCCTTTAGCTCAACTGGCTGGGTCCCTGTTGAGTGATGCCGGATGCCTGGGTTTGAGTCCCCAGCGGTGGGGGGCCGACCTGAGGCGGCAGCAGTGAGGGCGCATACCCACATGAACCCGAGAGTGCTACAATATTTTGATAAAATGTACTGCTGCAGTGTAAGCACACTTTTTTCTTTTGTTCAAATTATATAGTAAAATAATAGGTTTTTACCTTAAAGGTTTTCTGTACTTACAGATTATATCTCTGTGGCAATTTGTCTTTTTTAAGATAAACATTTTAAGCATTTCTCCCAACAATTTCTCCCCTTAAAAAATGCAGGATTCATTGCTGCTCAAGTATTTAATTTTCATTGGTGAAACACAACAGTGAAGAATGATTTTACTTCTGTCATAGCAATTGAATTTTGAAGGCATTCAATTTTTTTGATATACAGCCAAGCTCTTAATTTATTTTTTTCTGCTGTAAATGATTAAAAAAAGATAGGAAGATTTCATTATCTACGTTTATTCGGGTTATTAATTGTAATTGTATTCAAGAGTTGTTCTAGTGTAGTTCTCTACACAGCTGTCATGCTTTTTATATTACTTAATCAGGAAAAAAATTAATAAAAGATAAGGGTACCCCAAAAGGAAATATTTAAAGAAAACAGCAGAGCTGGCTGAATACATTTCTGTGTACTAATGATTCACAGAAGCAATATTGCATCTGGATTCAAATTAGAATTAAGATTATTTTTTAGTCAACAATTTTTAATAGATGTGTTCGTGTGAATTTGCCACGGATTGTTATGTCTTCAGCAAATCCCGAAAAGCATGTGTGTTAACTTCAGAAGCCTCAGTATACAACAAAGATATGGGCTCCTTTATAAACAGTTCTGAGCCATTGGAGATCTTTTTAATGCAGTGGCATGTAGCAGCTTCCTTGTATCAGTTTTTGTGTAATAGAAGGTATTTTGCAGAACATTGAATGAGATGCCTATAAAATAATTGTGATAACATTCAAAGGGAAAGATAAAGAATTTAATAATTATTTTTATGTCATATTGTGCTGAGTAGAATTGTTTGTATAATTTTAACTCCTCAGGCTTTATAACCAGCACGCTTGGGAGTAATTTGTGGGGGGTTATAGATAAGATGCTGAATGTCTGATTGTTACATTTACAATTTCTATTTTTAGAAAAGTTATAGAAACTTCACTTCCTAATTTAATGTTACTGGGAAATTGTAACTGATTCTGCAGTTTTCAAATATAGACTAAGTCTATTTTAAATATACAAATTCAAATATACAAATATGTGAATAAGAGTGTTAGGAATTACCACACTGCATCTTAGCATCAGTAAGTTCATAACTGAATTATCTGCCTAGCTAAAAGAGCTCATTACTGATGTCTTAAAACACAGTCAGACAAATGGTATCTAAACGTTTAGGTTGGCTTTTCTCTTAGATCATATCAGCTAGGTAATGTTAAGAGAAATCATTTTGAAAAATTCAGTCTATTAATCCATGTTTTTTTTAAATAAAACAATGTTTAAAACACACTGTCAAATTCTCATTAAACATAATTGAAAGTCAGTAGCAGATCTAATTATGATTTTTGTTAACTACATGTTTTTAGGATTTTTATGGTTGAAGGCTGGTAGCGAGACATATTCCATTTTAAGTGGAAATGTCTGTGTCTTAATTTGAATCCGGTTTATTTCACGTTAAATAGCATAACCCTGTCATACAGACTTAAATGTGACAAATGACCACTCAAACCAGAGCAGAGAGAAAAATATTAGCTTGGCCATGAACACACAGGGTTCCAGTGCTAACAATCAGAAAGTAAGGTGATTTATACCAATAGTGATTTATATCATAAGTTTGTGTTTATAAAGCTAGAAATTGAAAAGAAAAATATGTTAACCTGCAACATATTTAAAAGTGTCTTCTACTGCCATTTTATTTTGAAACCATTTTTATTATGGTAATTAAGATTAGATTGTATACTCCTTATTTTGATTCAATTACTCTTAATAATCCTTTCATTTAGAATGATTCTTCTTTCTTGGGTCTTGGCAGCTGGTTAGCAGTTCCAAATTCCTCCTCAAAGATGTTGTTCCTGAAAGCAGTGCATATACTTTGCATGAAGTAAAATATGACTATTACAAAATGCTTTTTTTGTTTTCTTCTTTTCTAATCTTATTATTTTGTCATGCACTTTGATTTTTTTATTTCTGTGTAAAAAATAAGAAGAACAAGAGAATCTATTTTATTTTAATTTGGCTGAGCCAATCTGCATAAGCACAGTAACTAAAGGAAATATGCACTTTAATAATTTCAATAATTATGCATTTATGTTCTATAAAAACTTTAAACAAACTTATTGCAAAAATAAAATGTTGTAAGTGTACACTGATAAAACTGATATCTGCTAAAAGGTTGGAACATGTTACTCCTACTAAAACTGAAAAACACACTGACAGAGGATACACAACAGATGACAAGTGCAGGAGAGAAATAAGATGATTTGTAATTATTACATAAAATCATTATATGTGTGAATATAGATAATACACACATTACATGTCTAATTAATTTAAATGCAAACTGACTAATTCACTTGTGTTTTATTTCGAAAAACAATTTTCTCAGTGCTTATTCACTTCCTAACTAGCTAGTTATTACAAGATGAAATGGTAGGGGAAGATTGTGAATTAAAGGCACATATTAAACAAAACAGAAAATGTGGACTGTATTACTTTAGTAATAAAATATAGAACAGCACATAAAGAGTGATAGGCTGCTAGCAGCTATACAGTATAAAGTTACTATTTATACATGATTGCTTGTGTGTTTAAGTGCATTTGAAAATAAACATGAAAATGCTATTGATTAATAAAAAGTAATGCCATCAGAAAAAAAGGATTGAGTATTCTTAAAAATAACCCTTGTTAGTACATAAAATAACATATACCTTTTAGTATGTATGATAGATTCTTCAAAATGATAGTGACAGCTCTATTGTCAAAGATTTCACAAAAGCTCAGCATCTTATCATTGTTCAGGATGTGAATGGAGTGTCTTATTATCTTCATTCTTCTATTTAATTTCATGTTATTATATATGGGTAGTAGTCTTGGGCAGTAGTCTTATTTCTTTACATTCATTTAGTATTAGTATTAAAAGTAATCAATACATTTGTTGTATATAAAACCCTGTCATAAGATTATTAGTCAATCTTATGTTTTATGGAAATGTGAATTTTAGTGCGATCTAGTTGTTTCACAGTCATAGAAAGTAGAGCCATCTAAATAGGTTTCTAATTTGGCTTTTCCGTATATTAAGCTGAAATTAATAGGCATGGACAGCTGTTTTCCCATTATTAGGGCTCATTGGCATGACATATGTAACTTTAGCCAATGAAATAGACATAAATACAGTATCTTGCTAGTTTCACCTTTTAGGACGTTTTAAGGGTATTCAAGAGTTATTGTGAATTATGGGAACATGAATATTAATTATCTCTGTCATGAAAGGTAGTTCTTGTACAATAGTCATATATATGCTCATGTATGCCATTGAATGTAACTAACTGTAGGATAATGATGAAGTATACTAAATGTGGTTAAAATGATAACCTGGTCAGACGTATTCAATTCAAAGTGAAGCTCTAAAAGCAACATTAAATTATTTGTTGAGCACTGCAAACCCTGGGTTGATTTCTCCAACCCAGAGGCCATCACTTTACATTCATTTACATTAATAAAAGTCTTAACTAGATTGTACCCTTGACTAGATATAACCATCAGCATGCTTCCCCTTCCTCCAAATGTAAAAACTTCAGTGAATCCTTTCTCTCAGAGCTCATAATGCAGAGATGGTGATGTATTAAAATGAAATACTTATTTCAGATGTTTTTTTCTTCTGTGAGAGGCCTGCCCTAATGTCATTGCTGAGTATACTGAACATGTCCATTAGATAAAATGTTAAGAAGGAGGTGGGGAAGTGAACCTTTGTCTCCATGGCAGGCAGTCTATTGCCTTGTCATTTACTGCTAAATGTGTTATGTAAATCCTTTTTTCTAATGGGACCTAAAACACTCAATATGTTATGTGCTGCAATTTTTTAACTTGTGTGAACACATACATAATATACTGTATAGGAACAATTAATAGGTTTATCCCATGCTAAAAATTGAAGAAAGAAAACACAATGTTTCATCTTTGGAGCCTTCTTCGAGTGCTCTTTGGGTTCTTCTTCACACCCGAAGAAGCCAAAGCGTTGTGTTTTCTCTCTTCTCTTTTCAGCATGGAATAAACCTTTTACTTGTTCCTTTGCAGCCTACATATGCTGACACAGCTACCCACCCTACTGTATATTTTTGCCCAAATAGTCCACAGTCCAGATCAAATTAAACTTCAAGGTGGTAACGGATACTCCAAAAAGGGGTATCTAAAAGAAACTCTCCTTAAATATTATGCATTCAAGGATGACTGTCATTGAAAAATCACCATAGGGAGTTATGCAGCTATGTACATGTCACTACAAACTTGAAAAGAAACTTGTCTTTGTGTGTCTGAAAGATGCTCC